TTTTACGAGAGAAGCGAATTTCACCCTACTTAACTACGAGTGCATGAGAACGCCAACTACTGGAATTATTCCTTTTAGAGAAGAAGCGATTTTTAAAGACTTGCAAAACTTGAAGGACGAGATTTCAACAAAACTGCCGTGTTAACTTGCCCGAGAACTAGTTAAGTTATTATGAGCCTTGTTCCAGGGATCGTTCAATAATGGAATCATACGCGCAGACTGGAAAGCAGCTCACATTAGACCGGTTCACGAAAATGACTGTTAAACACTTATGACCAACTACACGCCTGTCAACTTGACATACATCCGTTGCAAAGTCATAGGGGAGACTACCAAAAACGTATCGATGATTTATTTGGAAACCCTCAGCCTCTTTGTCAATTCCCAGCACAGCTTCCTTAGGGGAAGATAACGTTTAACGAACTTGCATTACACTATGCAGTGCTTAACAGGAGCTTAACAGATTGCGCATGCCGCCTACATTGCGTTCTAAGGATACTGAGAACGCCCAAAATTTACTGTGATAACAAGCCAACTCTTTGGGATGGCCCTTGAGAGCGTTCCACACCAGAATCTTCTGTAAAAGTCGAGTGTAATGGATACCGGCTGCAAACTTCTTAAGTGGAACGGGAAGTCTCTCGTCGGTCGTTCTCCAGTTGTTTGTGTAGAACAAAAAAACTTAGAAACACTGTCATAGAGAGTGAAATCCTACAAGCTTCATTGCCTCGACCAACATCCTTTCTTACTTTTGTGCTTACATGCACCAATTGAACTATGAGTGTACCATGTTTGCAGATGGTAGACAAATATGGTAAGTCACAAAATCCAGTCGATGAGGTGAACTTACGAGAAAACTTTTGTCGGCTGGAGGAGTAGCTCCTCGGATGGCTCCTGTCATTCGTATGAAAGGACTGAACGCTGCTGCGTCTCGGAAATTGAGGTCAGGTCCCAGATAAGCACACCTACCATATAAACGGAATACAGCCCCGAGAGGCCAGAACAGAAGAGGATCTTTGGCTTTGAATGACGAATACTAAAGTCTTCTACATGCCGCTGTAAAGCGGTTAGGTCGCAAATGCAATGTTGTACGCCACAAAGCGGACGTTTACAGTTTTCGATGAAGAATTATCCTTCGCATTCTTTCGTACGTATGGAAGGCCCCATCTCGAATGTACGATTCAAGCCTGGAGACCATGGACCCAGAGGGATTATAACCTACTCGGAAGAATGCAGAGGCGCGTCAAAAATCAACGTCACGGTCAAAAAATCAAGATTAAGGGACGCTGCTAAACGAGACCCGCTTATTCAGTATAATTCAGTATTTAGGCAGAATGGCATTACCGACAGAGACAAGGAAGACTGGAATGGCCATTTCTGGCTTATTAGCCGTCGTTAGCCAGTCATACCCAAAGCCGAAGTATGGAACACCCAAAACTCGAACTCGCGACCTGTTAGTTAGAAGTCCAACGCCTCTAACCACTGGGTCACGAGTCCGTCAGTATATATAAGGGAGATAGGCATAGCCTTTGGAAATCCTATTTACAGACCTAGAGTGAAAAAACTTACATATGTTTACGTAGATATACGGGTACATTTCATCAATTCTTATCAAGTAAATGCATGACCATCATATAAAATGGGATCAAGTCCTTGTTTAAATGTCTCACCGCTTTCCGCCAGAACAACCGAATAAGGAAGTTTGTTCCAATTCTCTATCACACGGTGAGAGATGAAATTCATCCGCACTTCAAGCATGGCGTACTTTGTCTTCAGTTTATAATAATTAATAATAATTATTTTTATTAAAGACCCGTCGGGGTCCCATCAAAGCAAGTAAAAATCAATTAACATGCGAATTTTGGACGAGGTAGGCAAAATCTGCTCAAAGTGCAATACATAGATTTTGAATTAGAAGTCCGTTCAGAAAAATGATAAGCGAGGGGTGAAAAAAACTCCAAATGAAAATTTAAAAATGATTGGATTAATTTTACAGGAGAAAAAAACCCATCGAAAAAAATAGAAACGGGAAAATGCGGGCAGGACTGGCCTGCATGCGGCGGTATAGAATGGATCATAGTCGGACATCGACAGGGACGAAATAAATGTCAGCTGTATACGGCCTTGTATAACGGATTTCATGGAGGGGTAAGTGGGCGGGTCGGTGAGGACTGGCCTGTATTTGGCCTTGAAGAAGGCAAATAAGTGGCGAAATTGAAAACCAGTCTCGAGGTTATAGGAACCCAGATGCGATCGGTTACATTCAACCGAGTCCATCCGACGATGGGGCAAGGGAGATAAGAACAGACTACTAGTATCTGGCGAATACAGAAGGTTTCGCCAAGAGCGTCGATGGAGCGCATTCTGTGAGGGAAAGATGCATGAACTGAAAAATTGGAAAAATTAACATTTCTGATGGGGGATCTTAGGAAGCGAGACTACTCACAAAGGAAGGAAATGCGAACAGATACGGAAATTTAATGGCGGCATACTAAATTCCCGGTGGCCCTTTCTCAGTGTCAAAGAAAAAGTTGTCTGGGAAGGATGAGGAAAATAAAAGTTTAGTCGAGTCAGTATTCAGATAAAGGCGTAGCCTTCTCTTAAAGGTGTGTAGATTTTCTGAAGATCTTATATTTATTGGAGGGTTATTCCAGAGGAAAGTATATCTGGAAGCGAAAAAAGGGAGCGCTTAGAGGTGGAGGACGCTGGAGGAGGTATAATCAAGGACGAGTTGCGAAGATTACATGGGCGACTACTAGGGGTAAGTGCTGAAATCCGAGGAAAATTTAAACTATGATTAATGCGAAAGAGGAGACAGAAGCCCGCTTCTAGTCTTCGAACCCATAAAAAAATTACGTTAATTACCTCTCGCCGCCTCTTTGTACTACATCTAAGCGCTCCCTCTTCTTTGATTCCAAATATGCCTTCCTTTGGAATAATTTTCCGCCTGAAATTAGATTATCGCCTAAGTTACTGGTATTCAAGTCGAAATTACGCAAACATCTTACACCGGAAAGCATAAAGGCACTGTTAACGGCCTCATTCCCGAACACTCAGGTTCTTGACTTCGAGAAGGGTCCTCCTGGGATTTAGTGGTAGATTAAGTGGTAACTCTTAATTATATCATTAGAAACCCCTGTTTTTAATTGATTTCTAGATACATTGCTATCACTTTTTCCCCATAGCGACAATTTTCGCGGGTTTTGATGTCATCTCCCGCATTCCGACCTCATGCGGTCTGTCAACGCCCACGGCGGAACCCTCAATATTCACTGTCTACTAGTAGTTCGATCGTAGCTCCCTTCCCCACTGCTCGGTTGAGCTCGAAGCGTACTGTGGCCGATCGCATTTGGGTTCCTCTCGTCTGGCCTCTTTGACGCGGCGTACCAATCCGGCCCAGACGGTCTCAAGTGTGAATCCCGTATACAATGCCATATGCAAGCCAGTCCTGTCTGACCCACATTCGTACCCATCAAGGCTGACATTTATTGCTACCCTGACAAAGACCGACAACATTCCGTTATATACCGCCACCTACGGGCCAGTCCTGCTCGCTTTTTTCTGTCATTATTTTTATTGAGGGGGTTTTTTTCTCCTGTAAAATTAATCCAATCATTTTTAACTTTTTGTAAGGATTTTTTCCCCCCTCAATCATCATGTTTCTCAATGGACTTCTAATTCAGAAACTATGAATTGCATTTTGTAAAGATTCGGCCTACCTCGTCTAAAACTCGCATGTAAATTTATTTTAACTTGCTTTGATGGGACCCCGATGGGTCTTTAATAAAAATTATCGATCTATCTATCACCCTGGCATCTATCTGAGTAGGAGATATTGGGATGTCCCTTATCTAAAAGTTTTTTTTATTAGAAAAACGTCCTTGGACATCTTCAATTTTTAAACGATTAGCTTCATTCATCAAACCAAAGAACGCGCAACAATACTCGAGAATGGGAAGTACAAACATACGAAAGAGCCTTAATTTAATTTCAGGAAGATAGAAATTGTAAGAAATAAAGCCACAAATCTGGGCAGCTTTGGCTGTAATTCTGTCAGGGTGTGCGAGATATCAAGATTACTAGTGTAGCTTAAACCTAAATCCTTGATGGTGGTACATTCAGTCATAGGTGTGCCTTGAAAGACCACTGGTTGGGGTAGCCTATCAGGTCCAAAACACATATAGAGACATTTAGACGGAGAGAATTTCATAAGCCATTTTGAGCTCCAATCTGCGAGAGCAAGCAAGCCAGCATGGATTTGCTCCAGGCAATGAAGGCTCGTAGATTTTTTGAAAGAATAAACACATTT